CATTTGCTGTCTCCTTTTGTTGTCTCCACGCCTCACTTTTTCTTGTAGCATTTTTGGATAGCAAACATCCTCCTTTGTACCCCTCCTCTCGCTATTGTTCCTCACCTAGTTTTGTGGGATCAGCACAGCGCTCAGTCACTGAGTCCCTATTAACTGGATGAGCTTGATCCAAAGCCCATTGAAATCTATGGAAAAGTTCCCATTGACTTCACTGCGGGCCTTGAATCAGGCCCGGTGACTATCTTATAATTAAAAGAAAATTACATTTCCCCTCCCTTGTTTAAAGACAAGATCAGTTGCTTCTGATCCCTGGAGTCTGGTATCTCTTCTTTCCCCTCCAAACTGCCCTTGCTCATTACAGAAGGTTTTCTGGTTTCTAGTATGTCCTTTGCTGTCAATGGTTGTCCCTTTCTTTATGGAACGGTTGCTATGTATAGGGTTTTTAATCTCTGGATATTGCCTGGGAAGTGAAACTCAGCCTAGTTGCTGGTGCATGTGTCCCAGTGTTGGTCTTAGCAAGTTTGGCAGGCACTTAGCTGACCAGGAGGTGAAAGATGCAGGTTAGCATTCTCTTTGCACTCTCATTGCTACTCTCATCCTTTCCTTCCAGTTCCAAACTCCTCCTTTCGATAGCTAGGGTCAGAGACAGGGTTTAAAATGGACTCTCAATATAGTGCTAGATCATGAGCTGACAATGGATTTTCAACAAAATCTAGATTGGCAGTTGTCTGGGGCAAGGACTGTCTCTGTGTTTGTTGTTACAGTGCCTAAGACAAAGGGATGCTAATATCTCTCTGGGGTCCTCACATGCTACAGCAATAGAAATAATGACATTCTTTAGAACAACACCATTTTCTAACCTGAAGGGAGAGCTTTCTGGCTTTTTAAAAAACGTTTTCATTCTTTATATTTTATTCCATCTCTCTGCCCCCTTCCCCCTCCCCTTTTTTTTTTTTTGCTCTATACCTCTTGTTCTTTTTCCTCCCTTGGCTATCCTTTCCTCTCTCCCTTTTCTGTCTGTATCCTCCTTCCCCAGGTTCCCATCTCACTTGCCCTCTCTTCCTTGCTTGCTCTATCTCTGAACCCAGGTCAGATCCACCTCTGTTTATTTATTTTGGCTGCATCTGTGACCCAGTACAACCTGGCCCACTTTACGTTCATAAGGTGCTAAGAATTAGGAGTCTTTCCACATCTCTGTCTCTTTCCCATCTCTCTACCTTTCCTTCACAGTAAGGAAAAAAGCAAGCAGCCTTATCTTGATGTTGGACCTCTCCATCCCTGCATGCTGCTAACTGTGGTGTTGCCCCTCTCTCCCCAGATCCCACCTGCATTGTTTGGATCTCTTTTGTACATTGTTGGGCTCCCACGCTCAGATTTGCTAGCTTAATACATGGTTTGGGGTATGTTCTTCCCACTGCTGTATCCATTTGTGGTGGTTTGTACCCCTTTTTCCTAAATCCTCTTTCTTCTTCCTGCAGGACCCCAGGACCAACACACAAGCCCAAATTCTCTCCTCCTGACCATTCATGCAATACAAAGTGGTATGACTGGGCCCTAAGTGTCCACCCTAAAATTTACTTGATATACAGGAGCTACAAAGTGGCATAATTGTCTCCTCTGCTAACTGCCTCCAAATGCCCTGATGCGGGGACAGGCTCAAGTGTGCCTGTACTACACCAATTCACAACTGGCATTACGTCCCATCTAAATTAATACAAGAGACCAGAGCTAGCTGACATAAGTTAAAGCAGCCCCTGAGCTGCTCCAACTTACGTCAAGTTCTAGGTTCAGCATAATTGCACTATGGGAATCAAGTGCTTCTTGCTGGCCCACCTCTTCTGCACTGAGTGTATCTGATGGAATTTGGGCCACAGAAACCTGTTACTAGGTGTGCATCTGCTGGATCCATAGATGCTGGGACTAGGGGTGCTCCTGCACCCCCTGGCTTGAAGTAGTTTCCATCATATACAGGGTCTACCCTGGTGGATGAATGGGGCCATAACAGCAGCTTCCATTCAGCACTAAAGGGCCAGCTACTAGGCAGTCTCAATGAGGGGCACTGGCTGGTAAGATAATTTGTGGGTCTTTAAATGATTCTGTTTTGTCAGCAGGTTTCCAGCACAGTCAGTGTGGGCACAATAGGAGGTGTGGCATGCTGTGGTTTCCTACTCACCTTTCCATTGTGTTGTTTTTTTGTAACGTTATTGTTGTATTGTCCTATTTCCGCTGCCTGTTTTCCATATTTGCCCTTGCTCTATTTCTATCATTTATGTGGCCTACGCTTCTGTCATAACTATAAAGGGAAGGGTAACAGCCCTCCTTTGTACAGTACTATAAAATCCCTCCTGGCCAGAGACTCCAAAATCCTTTTACCTGTAAAGGGTTAAGAAGCTCAGGTAACCTGGCTGACATCTGACCCAAAGGACCAATAAGGGGACAAGATACTTTCAAATCTTGGTGGGGGGAAGGCTTTTGTTTGTGCTCTTTGTTTTGGGGGGTTGTTCGCTCTTGGGACTGAGAGGGACCAGACATCAATCCAGGCTCTCCAAAATCTTTCTAAACAAGTCTCTCATATTTCCAACTTGTAAGTAAACAGCCAGGCAAGGTGTGTTAGTTTTT